TAAAAACCATTAATTCATCAGGGGCACTAAACCAGCAGGATTAGATTTAAATCCCTTCTATAGTAAGTTTAGAAATCTTCCTTTTATACTAAAATGTAACTACTATCTACTATGACTCTAGAATGCATCCAAAATAAATTCCAAATTTTCTTGCTAATCTCCTGCTATTTATATTTGGTATCTCAGGCCATTTCTTTTTCTTTGTCTTTCAGGTGAACAGCCCCTAGGGACATTGACAGCTAATTAAGGCCATCATTTTCCTATTCTAAAAGAAATTGAGGTGCACCAAAACAGCAGTCTTTTGGACAGTTTGGAATGAAAATGCAAGGTTTTTTTTTCCTAGCAAGGAGCAAACAAAGAGACATAAATAGAATGATCACAAGTGCCTGTCTGTTCAGAACTGGTGGGGGTTCAAATCAAAGCATTCTCTACAGATGAAATAATCAGAAGATGGCAGCATATATCTTCTTCTTCAGCAAGACATTCCAGTACCCCTCAAGCCCTGGTCCTTTTGAAAATGCCATTAAGCTGAATTTCAAATGGTTGCAGTAAAGGAAATTCAGGAAGTTCAGGAATTGGTGAAGCCTTTAAAGAGTCAAGGTGAAACTTTAATGGGCTAGTGACTGATAAGAGCTGAATCCCTATCATTATTTCAAGGGCTGATATTGGGTACCCTTTAAGGTAGAGCAATTTTCAGGAGAAGAAAAAATCTCAGCTGGCAATTATATGGATGCAAGGAGACAGTCTGGACCACGGCAGTAGAGAGTACAGATACATTATTAGGGAGGCTAGATACTTGGAATCATCATGAATTCTATTTTTAGATGTGTTCAGAGGACAAATGGTCAGCAAATTCCTTGACAGATCAGCCAGTGAGGGTGTTTAGCAGAAAAGAGATGTACTGGGGGGTAAACCACTTGTGCTAAAGGTCTGTAAGGATATGTATTGGGTAACCCATCAGTTTGGAGAGGAGTAACCATGGGGCTAGACGAAGGATTATATGAGGAGTGCTTGTGCACTAACTTCTTCTGTATATTTTCTTTTTCATCTGATAAATTGAGCTGCTTGATCAGCTTCTCAAAACAAGTTTTATAGTTCAAGAGGGGGTTAAAACTGAAGTACTTAACACTTCAAGTTGTAAAAGAAAAATTGTCCTCCCTTATTATATCCTCAACAACTACCAAGTCCCATTATTTTGTTTTGCAGATGGAATAGATCAAGATTTAAATGTCATTTAGTCTGCCAGAAGAAAAAAAAAAAAAAAGTCATTTGTTTCTTACAGAGAAACATGAACTTCCATGCATGCATCCAAACTTATATAGAAGATTACATTACACATGCTGCATGCAATCATGTACACAAGTCGTATGATTGTAAGAGTAAAAAGTTGGAGATTTGATCATACCAATTAGGTAAACGGAAGAAAGTGTGAAAGAATGTTCTGATGCCTTCAATATCCAATTGCAAAATTAATGCCAGTCCAAAGAGAAAAAATGATCTCTGACGTTTCCTTTCTTGTGGCCAAAGAGAACTCCAAGCTGATGATGAAAATGTAGTTAGAAGATTTTTACATCATGCATCCAGTAGTAGAACAATTTCTGTCAATTATACTGCACCAAATGGTGAAGACTACCCAGGGAAAGCAACATTGTTCTTGAGAGAGAAATATATACTTATGATGATTGTGTTGAACACCTACCACCTGGTTGTATTACTTTGGTTGATTGCTCATTTTCCCACTTATCTGACACTTAAAATAGTGCCTTTAATTCATATTCAATTTGATGTTCCAATGCTAGGTAAGTATATCCAACTTAAAAATTTCTCAAAAAAAATAGAACAAAACCAAGGATCAAAATTCCGCTATGTATCAGGCATATCATTCCAATTACACCCCAACACGCTAACTACTCAAGGTTTTGGATTTTTGATATTTTTAGGGGGTAGTCAGGCCTAAGACCGACTCCCTGTAAAATTATAAAAAAAAAAAGAGCTGCATGCCTTTGTTTCACCCAAGATGCAAGTTTTTGCATATCAATACTTTGAACCTTGGATAGAACCGTTCAAACATATTTATATATATATATCTATATATCTATATATATATATATTAATATATATATATATATATTACAAAGTGTAGTGTTTTTTTCTTTTGCTTTTATTTAATGAGCTCCAGGCAATTCTGTTGTCATAATTCTGAAATGCAGGTCATATTGTATGGGTATTTATGTATCCCCTCCCCCCTTTTTTGATTAATAAAATAGATAGTGGCAACCCTCCACCAGGAGTAAATTTTGGGGTTTGAAAAAATGTTATATTGTTTTTAAAAGGTCCAGAAGATGAGAAAAGAACCTTGCATTTAGATACACACTTGTACAGATACTTATAATAATATATCTAAATAAATTACACCTTACCTCATAAAAATTTAAAATAAATCTAATGTTTGTTTCGTCATATTTGCCGGTATATATCAACTATAAATGGTTTTTTCTGTCAGAAGCAACATATACATTAGACATAGGTATGCCCAAATAAGACCATGCATCTTCAACCTTTTTAATTGCTTCATTATTACACTTTTACCAATAAAGAATTATATTTGCAATTATTTAATTACTGGTAAAAATTTATCAGTAAAAGACCCTGGATATTGAGAACCATCATTGGTTAATGGCCCTTCATGATGAAGAATGGAGTACCAGTTATTCCTAACAGAATAAACAATGACTTTTTATCAGTATGACCAAGGGTTGATATTAACCACATATGTACCTTGCATTGAAATATTTCCAATGTTCTTATCAGGAGTCATTACATGCTTGGAATCCATTCCTTGCTTCAATATATTTGCAATTACAGAAGCATATTTTGGAGCCTCTGATAAAGATCTCACAACTGAATAGCCTGTTTGGAAAAAGTAAAACAGAGGGGCACCAATTTAATACAAATGATTAGGAAAATAAGTGGATAATGATAATGTCATTGTTTTCTACCTGTAGCTGGATGCACCATGCTAGCTGCAGCACCAAATGCTAAATTCTTTTGCTCTGTATTTGGTAATGATCCACCAACAGGTATATAGGACCACTCCTACACAAAAGACTCAATGATTACATCTACATTCCAGGTAGTGCCCAGAAAAAATAATGATGTTCAAGCCTTTTTTTCCATATACATAGAGGACATGTCTGCTAGTCAGGTTAAATGACCCTGGAGAATTCAATATGGGAATGTATTCGGGAGCTCAAAAGGGCTACTACATGTTCCTGTTGTTACCATAGGTTTATCATCACCATCATCATCATCTGAGCCTTGTCCCAACTATATGGGGTGGCTACGTGAACCCTGTTTCGCCATTCCATTCTGTTCAGTAACATATCCTTAGCACTTAAATCATTTCAGCTAAAAAAACTTACTATGTGGCCAAGACAAGCCCTTATTTGGACACCATACTTAAATTAAAATGTTGAGACTTTGAACAGATTATTTAACTTTATGGAGAACACCAATACAATGGAAATAGGGCTGATATGGACTAGGGGAGTGATAAATGGCTGAACTAGATGTTTCCTTATCGAATGGATAAATCCAATCAACCGCATGGCAGAAATAGGTAGTAGGGTCATTTAGAAAAATTCCCTAGCTGACCAGCTTTTGGAAAATGTGTTTAACCATCAAGAGTATAGCTGCCCATTAGTACCTATTAGTTATGTTTTAATGTTTTTAAATTTTTTAATTGCATGATCAGTTAAATCTTTGATATTCTAACACAATTTTCAATTGACTATCTTAAGATTTCCTATAAAATCTCTAACTGTAACAGAGACCAAAGGGCCATTAGCCAATGTTGGTGCCGGCTATGGGGTCTCGGGAGGGATAGACTGGACAAGGACCTATCATTTGGCAATTTTTGCACAAAGTGGCCATTCTTATGCATAAAAGAGGCCGGTTTGGTAAAATATTAAATGAAAAAAGTAGATAGTAATAAAAAACAATACATTCCAGAGAGAAATGTAGGACAAAGGACAAGCAGCCCAATGCTGACAAGTAAATTATATGTCTTTAAATATGATTTTGGTACTACAAGTCCATAAATGGACCAGGCATAACCCAATTCAAAACATATATAATGATTTTAATATAAGATCATTGACATATATAAAAGATAAAAACTATAAATGAATAAAATGCCACTGTAAATAAGCAAATCACTGAAATCAACACAACAACATCACATGATGAATATGTTGTGTCAAGCATAATAGCTTCTATACTTAGCTTGGGAAAAATAAAGACTTCACCACTATGATGTAAAAATGTTGATAATAGGAGTGAGCAATATAGCAATTTTTAGAGTTAAACACAAAACACATAGAGATAGAGAAGACACAAATAGAGATCAGTGGATCATATTGGGTTTCTTAAAATATAGGGTTTCTTTCTTCATTTTTTCTTTATCTTTACCTTTTAAACATTTATTTCATGAGAGAGATAATATTTAGAATCAGAGTCACCGAAAATAAAATTTTATTTTTAATAAATATAATAATAAATAAATAAATAAGCAGGATTATATGCCTCCTTGAAACTTTAGAAGAAAACTGAGAATAAAGAGGTTGGATCATGTGCTTTCCTTAAATTAAGGACTGCAATTACCTTCTTTTTAGGTACTAAACCATAATTGTCTTGTCATGTTAAAGTTGACCATATTTATAAATTTTTTGAAGAGTAAATAATAAAAAAAGAAGTTAGAAATATAGTCAACTTACTAACTTCATGATAAACTAATACTTGTGGAGGGAGTGAACAAAGGATGATTGGGCACCTTAAGGGCTTGGTGAAGAAATTTGAAGCTGTCTCAAATCTCAAAGTCAATTTTGAAAAGAACTGCATTGCAGGGATTAATTTGGAGGATAGAGAATTAGAGGCTATTGTGGAAAGGCTTGAGTGTTCCATCTCTAGTCGGCCTTTGACCTATCTGGGGCTTCCTTAGGTGCAAATCCCAAGGAAAGTAGATTTTGTTCTCCAATATTAGAAAAGTGTGCAAAAAGGCTAGCAGTGTGGAAGAAGAATTACATATCCTTGGGTGGGAGGATTACTCTAATTAGATCAACCCTAGCAAACCTACCCTTATATTATTTGTCAGCATTCAGGATTCCACAGAAGGAGGCTAGGAAGATTGAGAAGGTAATGAGGGACTTCCTATGGGAACCAGGGAATGAGAAAAAACATCACTTGCTGAGATGGGAAATTGTGGTTAAAGATTCAAAATAGGGAATTTGATTTGGGGGTGGCCATTGGAGATGGACAGATTGTGGCATGAGGTGATAGCTAGCATTCATGGCAGGATGAACTCTGTCTGGGATGCAGGAGTGTCTCAACGGGCTACTCTTACTTCACCATGGAAAGAAATTAACAGGATTCTTCACCAATTTCTCAATTTCGTCAAGTATGACGAAATTAGAAATTTCATCAATTTTTTTTTCTTTTCTTTTTTTTTCTTTTTTTTTTGGGGGGGGGGGGCGGTAAAATTTTTGACCTTTGGGTTGGTTCTTCAACTCTTAAAGATTTGTTCCCTTCCCTTTACTCAATTTCWTTGTACAAAAACAAGTGTGCTTCGGACTTTATCGCTCATCCTATCCTTCTTTTAAATCATAATTGGGATTTTGGTTTCTGAAGAGGGTCGAGGGATGCTGAAGTGGTAGAGTTGAATGGGTTACTACAACTTCTTGATTATGTTTGCTTGGATCCTACCAAACCAGATAGACATATCTAGGTTCCTCATCCAAAAGATMTTTTTTCTTGTGCTTCTCTTGTTAAGTCTCTTTGTTTGTCTTCTCCTCCTCAGCCTTTTCTTATTAAGGAAGTGTGGTGTCGGCCTATTCCTACCAAAATTTGGAGCCTTTTGTTGGGAGGTCCTACAGGAAGATCAACACCATGGACATGATACAAAAAAGAAGACCCTTCTTATGCTTATCCCCAGACTGATTCACTCTATGTAAATCCAATGAAGAAAATTGTTACCACTTACTAATATCTTGTCCTGTTTGTTGTAGATATTTGGGAGTGGCTTTTCTCTTTGCTTGGTTGCAAGTGGTCCTTGCCAACAGAGGTAGATAAGTTTTTTACCCTTCTACCTTTGTCTGGACTAAAAGGAGGGGAAGAATTATGTGGAGAAGTGTAGAGCAGCAATAGTATGTACCCTGTGGGAAGAAATAAATAATAGGATCTTCTCAAGAAAGGATAGATCCATAGAAGCGGTAAAAGATTGTGTTTTGGTTTGGCTTAGGACCCCAAATTCTTTTTCATCTTGGTCCTTTGATGATATAGGGAGAAATTGGGAGTTAGTGGCCAGAAGCTCTTCCAAAAAGGAAAAGAAAAGATTCTTTGGGAACACCCAGCTGAAGACTACATTAAACTAAACTTTGATGGGAGTAGTCAAGGAAACCCGGGCCCTTCAGGCATAGGAGGGGTGCTGAAAAACAAAGAAGGAAGTATCATTGCACTATTTTCTGGTCTTGTGGGAGTGGGAGATTCCATCAGGGCAGAATTACTTGCGGCTATGAGAGGGGTACAAATAGAAAGTGAGATGGGTCTAATAAATGTGGAGATCGAAGGGGACTCAGAATTGATGATAGGGTGGTTGAAGGATCCAGAGTCCATAATCTGGTGTTTTAGAGATGAGATGAAAAAGTTTAGTTGGCTAACCAGAAATATGAACTTGGAAATCTGTTGGGTTAAGAGAACTGCTAATGTTATGGCAGATGGGCAAGCTAAACAAGGGGTAAATAGGGAGAGTTTGTATTGGGCACAATTGCATTTGATTTTTGTTTCTATCCTATTAAAGCTTCTGTGTGAAAGGCAACACCTTGTGCCTCTCCGTGGGATGCTTGTAATGCCTATTCTCATTGAGATTCAATAAATACTTTGTTTACTTATTAAAAAAAACAGCATTACAATCATAATTATAACTTCAACAATAAGGTCATAATAAAATCGATACTGGGTATTTACTTTGAAAATCTTTATGATTGCTATATCATAATTTTCTTAAAAGTTAAAATTTTGGAGGGTCCTATGGTAGAACATGAGTACCTGTCAACTTCATAGGTCCCCCCCCCAACACACACACACACACAAACACAGGCTCTGCCCCTGAATATGATCAGGCTCACCTATGAGACTTTCTCATCTGAGACACTGCAAGTAGATTGTCCAATACTCTAATGTAGTGATAGAAATGTCAAGCTTCATTTGTAGCCAGTCAAAGAGATATTGTAATCCCATCTAAAGTATTACCTCTTCATAAGTTTTTATTATTCGAACACCCATGTTATCCAACCTAGACATCAATTTTTTCTTCAACAGATCAAAGGGCATGGCATCTCTTGAGGCCAAACAAGTCTCCTGCAATTAAAATTTTCTAAGCATCTTAAAATGTTATTGAACTAACATAAAAATAAAATATATTTTGAAACCCAAAACTAAAATAAATCCAACAAACCTCAAAGAAAACTCTTGTTGGTGACATGGGCATGACATAAAGAAATGTTGGATATTCTGCTTCCAAGCATTGAACTGCCGGTTTTGTGTAATCTCTATAGTCCATGAAAACCATTAAACTAGGATCATATGGATTGTTTTCCACCTGGGAGAATGCAGAAAGACAAAGCAAATTACAGGTTATGACAAAGTTGAATCTTCAAAGTGAACTTTTCACAAATTACCCATAAAATACTATCAAGAACAATAATTAATCAGTGAGAAAATAAATGGAAAAAAAAATCTTATAAAGTATCAGACTTTGTCTATAGAATTTTTTTACATGCATAAAAAGAAAAAAAAAAGCATGTTATGTTTTTTTAGAAAATTCAATCATTCACACAACAAACAACATAGAAGTTCTATGTTAATAAATTTACTATTTGGTTATACTTATCACTTCCATTTCCACTCTCTCTCCCTTGCACAAAAAAAAAGTAAAATAAAAGACCTATTCAGACTGACAACGTGAAATTAATAGTCAGCATAGTCAACAAAAGACATACAATTGTCAGAGGATGAGAATCATAAGAGTATACACATAAAGCTCAGATGTTATGCACAAAAAGGATAACCCTACAAGATTTTCTTCTCCATTTCTATAAAAAACAAACGATAATTTAGCCTTATAAATTCCTTTAACTTGATCCCCATCTATATAGCATCCCTCCTATTTGCCAATCATCTTAACCACCATCTAGGATCTAGCATTTTCCTTCCCTCGGCTAGGGAGGAAACTATAATATTTTACCTCTTCTAGTGAAATCTCTAACTGGCCACTCCTGTAATAGCATAGAAATATCTTTAGGAATCATTCAAAGATATCCAAATAGAGGCAACCTCCTAAAATGTTGCACTTCTAAAGGGAGAATTACATAATGTCGCACCTTGCATCCCTATTTGGATGATTGTCTTGTAAAACTTTGATGCAATTCCTTCTCTTTCTTAATAAAACTTCATCATTTATCAAAAGAAAAAAGATGTGATAGCTGTTCTTTTACAGAAGAAATGGTCTTAGAAAATGGAGGAAAAAGATTTGTATTGTTGACACCCTAATATCCCTTGCTTAGACACATTATAAAAGTAAAATAGGAAAAGTCTGAGCTGGTTTTTATACATACTAGTAAACGTGTACGTGCATTCACACATGGCAATATCTCTAAGGCAAAACTATTTATAATTCATGGGCAGTTTCTGAACGGTTATAACTTATAAGTGGGTAGTTTCTGAACAGTTATGAGTGGGCAGTTTCTGAAGTGAGACTAAAGGACATATATGCCCTCTTTATGCCCGCTGTGTGCTTAGACAAGAGGGGAAGAAAACGTCCAACGAAAATTCCAGAAAAAAGGGGAATTCGCTTTTTTATAGGTAGTATAGATTTCAATAAAGTCTTGTACTCCTGTTTGGGCAGAAACATGGAACAGTCCTCTTACATATTTTAGTAAATATCTTACCTCAACTTCTACCCCATAAGCTGTTTGCACAGAAACACGGGGCCCCCCCACCTCATACTGCAAGAGTTTCCCTGAAGCTGCTCCAGATGCAACAGTTGCAAACCTGTAAAACCTTTTAAGTTGTTAAGGACAACACTTAATGGAAAAATTAAGAGCATGTCAATGTACCTGCAAGGAATAATAATATCTCTTTCACAAATGACAAGACTATGGCCATCTGTAGCTTCAATGATCCTTTCCACCTTTGAATTAAGGTATGAAACACCTGACTCGACACACCTAGGAGAGATTAATAGGCATTAATATCAATTAAGGCTTCGAACCATAAGTGTTAAGAAATTGGTAAAGAGAGTTAATAGAAGACCAACAAGCCTCCTTTTACCTTTTCAATAACTCTTCATGTAACAAATGACGACTAACTCGTCCATATGCACGGCCAATCAGAATTGGATCATCACTATCAAGATAAACAATGGTGTCTTTCCAAACATGCTCAATGCACTTTTCAAGCCCAAGACCTGAAAGGTGTAACAATTACATTTGATGAAGTATGGAGTCAAAGTAGGTATGAAATTTTTGAACTGCATAAGAAGTTGTATTATATCATAAAATCTATTTGTACAGAATGATATGATAAGTTTCATATCAAGATATGCATGTAAGAAGATGCAAACAGGAAGAACCTTGTAAACATATATGCCCTCCCCCGGATTAAAATAAGAAAAGAAAAAGTTGCATACAAAACATGCTAAATGTTGGAACCCATGGTTAAAAGTCACAATGGATAAATAAAGAATATAGGAGTTAAAGAGAGAGAAAATACTTGACAAAGCTGTCCATTGATTTTACATAATAGCACCTATGAAGTATGAACCCATGGCTATAATGCACATATATCTTCCATGACCCCCTTACTTTCAAACTTATTTATCTATTTCAGGAAAAAAAAAATGAATATGAAGCTAGGTGTACATATGCAAGCCAGGCTCAAATTATGTAAGTTCAACCAACCCAACAAAATCTTTAAGTTAGATTGTTCACCTTTTAAGACTTCACATTGGGATTAAAATGAAAAATCCTAAACCAACCTTACATAGAGTAGGTTTGTTTTGGGGCTTCAAAGAATTCAATTGACCTGACCACATGAATGCTTTACCATATTATTTAGCAAAAGGTTGATATGAAGCTGCAATATCCTTTTTTCTATAAATATACTTGTCTAATAAAGAAAAGAAGAAGAAGAAGAAGAGAGAAACGAAGGAGAGAAATAAGAGAAAGAGTGTGGTGGTTAGAATTGCCGCCCCACTCAGATATTTATATGTTTACAATCTAAAAACATGGTGAAGTTCCACTAATGCCCCTGCTGCCTACATAAACTGCCATAACTAGCATAACTAACATTAAAACAAACATGCAGCATTGATGACCACATTAATAATTATTGCTCTACATCTCTACAAATATGAAGCTACAATATCCTTAAATGACCTAGGGCCCCATAACTTTTCTCTTGTTCCATATTCAGATGATGGAGACCCACCATTAGATGGGTCCCACTGTGGAGATTAATTGGGCTAAAAATCAGGTTTAGACATGATTGCACCAATGCATTTTTATTGCAGACATTTGCATGGTGGGAATTCAACCATGGAGGCTACCTTTTTATTGATATGACTAATAGAAACCTTTAAAGATGAAGAAGAGATATCTTCAAATGGTATTCATTGATCCGGAGAAAGCATAAGATGAGTTCCTAGAGAGATAATATAATAGGATTTAAAAAAGAGTGGAGTGCCAAATAGGTACATGGCTTAATTAAGGACATGTATAAGGGTGCAACAAGCAATGTCAAAACAACTGTTAGAGAGACATCAGAGTTTCCAATTATGATGGGACTTTACCAAGGCAGAGCACTTTGCCCTTATTAATTTGGATTTATCATGGAAGAAACTGACTAAACATATTCGAGAGAAGATCTCATGGTGTGTGTTGTTTGTTAATGATATAATTTTAATTTATGAAACCAAATAAGGATTAAATGCAACATTAGATTTAGATTCATGGACATGTATCTTAAAAACAAGAGGTTTTAAAATAAGTAGTGTGAGTGGTGTGGTAAGGCTACGTACGGGGGTCTCCTTGAAGAACGAAGAAAGGTTGAGGGCAAAGGGTAGACTAAAGGCTATGATTGACCGAATGTTATTCTCGTTACGAGTCAGGCCTCCTTTTATAGGGAGAGATCTCAAGGTCCCGAAAGGAATGAGCTAAAAGTGTTTGATTCCCACTAGGAAAGGGAATCTTTGATTCGATGTCAATTGTCAGGGAACACCGCTAGAGTTTCGCCATGGGCCTTATGAGATATCTCAAGGACGAGGTTTCCTTTCACCTGAGGATTCTCATAATGCGCGTATGCTACTTCCTTTTGCGAGTCTCCTAAACTGACGTGATACGGATGACGTCAATACTAATCTTACGTGTCTCTCTTAATCCTATTGGGCACCTAATCACGAGTAATGTTGGTCGTTCGTCACGTTCTTTTGCCCGCCGCTGATACGCGGTGGTCGTGAGCTCATCACAGGTTTGCGATGGATCTGAGCTCATCACAGCCTCGCAATGGCTTTATGCTCATCGCAAGCTCACGATGGCTCTGAGTTTGTCTTTGGTATTGCGGCTTTGGGCCTATTGCGGGCTTGCGGTGGCACTGAGCTCATCGCAAGTTCGTTTTGGGTTTTGAGTTCATCGTAAGCCTGTGCAAGCTCAGAGCTCATCGCAGGTTTGTGCCGAGTCCTGAACTCGTCACAGGTACCTTTGTGGCATCGGTTTAGCACCTTTTGTGCTATTACGGTGGTGGATCAACATGTACCTACAAGTAGGACTAAAAAACAAAATATATGCAATGTAAATTTAACAATAATAGGAATACAAATCAGGGTACACTTAGGATTGGATCCCAAGATATTTCTCAATTTGACCACCTCCATTACCTTGGCTCGATAATCCATAACAAGGGTGAGATCAAGGAGGATGTTGACCATAGAATTAGAGCAGGATAAGCAAAATAGAGGGTGCATCCTGACTCTTACATAATAGAAGAATACCACTAAGGCTAAAAGGAAGATTTATAAAATAGCTACGAGGCAAGTAAAGTTTTTATGGAGTAGTGTTGGGCAATCAAGAAGCAATACGTCCAAAAGATGAGTATGGCGAATATGCAAAAGTTGAGATGGATGAGTAGAAAAACTTGAGAGGATAGGATCATAAATTAATTTATTTAAAAGAACCCAGGAGTGGCTCTAATAGGTGATAAAATGAGGGAAAGTAGACTAAGATGGTGTGGACAGGTGTAGAGAAGACCATCTACAAAACCAGTAAGAAGTGATCAATTTAACAATGAATACGGTACTTGCTAGAATGCTCGAGTCAAGGGTATTTTGGCCATTCTGGTTTATCTTCTTGAAAGAGAAAGGTTTATTGTATCTGAGTTTAAGTTATGTGTCCCAAATGAGGGACAAAATAGTCCTTCTTGTAACTCTTAAGTTTTTTTAATAAATTCAAGTGGGTCGGCTAGGAGAGGTGATTTTTTACGTTCTCTCTTCTAGTCTAGCCGAATATTCTTCTTCTTCTTTCTCTTTTCTTTCTTCTTTCTTCTTCTCTACTTTGACCTAGAATCTACTAGGGTTTACTCACATGGTATCAAAGCAATAAGGTCTCGTGTTCCCTCTTCTTGCTGCTGTCCTCTTCCTGGGTTCGCCACCAGCTTCACAGTAGTTTTCATCCTTCAGCTGACCTGATTGGAGATTCGATAAAGGGCTAAAAAAGGAGTTGTCGTTTTGAGGGCCTGGAGGTGAGAATGCCTCTGGCCGGTGCTGTGGTGGTCGTTGAAGTGGTACACTAGACCCTCTATTCAGTGTACGAAGAGGGCTGAACGTAGACAGGTATGAACACTATTGTCGTGTGCTCAAATAATGGACTGTAATGCTATTTTGTGCTTCAAAAGTTAGTTGTTGTGGAGCTTGGTGAGATTGATACGCATATCAGTCATGTTTTTTTTTTTTCCTTGCTCATATGTGTACTGAAAGAAGAGTCGTAGACTGCTGAAGTTCACGACAGCAGTGGCATGGTGGTGGTTCTGCCGTGGTGGCTGACATATCTATGATTCTAAATGCTTAAAAGTGAAATCCTAGACCTTGCGTGTAATCAGTTCTGCAGTATGAAGAACAAGTGTTCGATGAAATGACTGAGTGAYTTCAGCCTTGGCATGTTGATGGTAAATGGTCCTGCAGTGTGCAGTCAAGGTGTTTGATGTGTTGACTGAATAATTTCAGCCTTACTGTGTAGTGTGTAATGTGTAGTTGAAGAAGTTGAAGTTGGTGGTATCATAAGTGAGATAAGTCTCGTGAAGTGTGTGAGGTTGTGGTGTATATTTGAAGGTGAAATAATTAAGATGGCTTCATTTGTAGATGGGAATGACAACAAAACAGGCATCATGCCTTCTCCAGATTATCTAAGTGTTCAAATGACATCCATCAAGTTGAATGGTGAGAATTATGTTCCATGGGCAAAATCCGTGGAGGTGTTCCTGAAGGCCAAGAGGAAAGTGAAACATGTGAGAGAGGAGAAACCTCCCTCTAATTCCCCTGGGTTCAGTGACTGGGAACAAGAAGATGCACAGATAATGACGTGGCTTTGGAACAGCATGGAACCAAAGATTAGTGTGAACTTCATGTTCCTAGATACAGCCAAAGAAATMTGGGATCATGCTAAGAAGTTGTACTCTGGACAAGACAACACAACTAGGGTATATYARTTGTACCAAGAGTACTTCAATTTGAAGCAAGGGAGTCAAAGCTTAGAAGAGTACTATGCAAGTTTGAGGAACATCCGCAATGAGCTCAATGTGTATCACTCTCTAACATCAGATGTCCAAATCCAACAACAGCAACGTGAACAACTTGATGTGACTAGGTTTCTTGTGGGCTTGAAGGCTGAGTATGAACCTGTCAAAGCACAGATATTGGGGGGGTCCGCTCTCCCCTCACTTGAAGAAGTTTTTGCCCGTCTTAAGAGGACATCCATTGAGCCGGTAGAACATTCTTCTTTCTCTAATAGATCTGGTTTGGTAGTGACTAAAGGGAGTGGTCGTGGAAGTAGAAGTGGTGGTGGCAGCAGTGGACCTCCAAGTAACTGTGGTGGACACATGTTTAACCGGGCTAGTGGACGGACTGGAGGCCGAGAGTTAGGGGGAGGCCATGGAAAAGGAAGGAGTAATGCTCAGAGAAAGTGTACACATTGTGGCTTAGAGGGGCACACAGTTAATTTCTGCTATGATTTGCRTGGTCCACCCAACACTTGGGCTCACCATGCTACATCTAAGAGTAGTAGCACAATTACTAAAAGCCAGCAAACTGACCCAACCCCCTCCACATCTGCTTGTGCTTCTAGGCAGGAAATGGTGAGTGTACCACATGTAGTATATGAGTAGTTCCTTCAAACATCTCAGCAAAACACCGCTACACTTGCCCATTCAAGTATGGCTTGCTTAGCTTCCAAAGCCTCACCCTAGGTCATTGACTCCGGAGCCTCGAACCATATGTCTGGGACTCTTGATGTATTTTCTTCCCTTTCTTGCTCTTCCAAGTTACAAGATTGCCACCCAGGAAGGTACAATACCCTATGGTTGATCTCCTGTCTGATATAGAGCTAGCCCAGTCAGCATATATGTACCCTACTATCTCAAGAGTTCCGCCATTTTGGTATAACAAACCACGACCTGGAGCACCCTTTAGGTACCTAACAATTCTCAGAACAGCTTCCCAGTAAGGAACCCGGGGATGTTGCATAAACTGACTCACCACACTCACAGCAAATGATATATCTGGTCGGGTAATGGTCAGGTAGTTCAACTTTCCCACCAACCTTCTGTATCTTCCAGGATCATCAAACTCTTCACCTGCATCTACACTCAACTTGGCATTGAGTTCCATAGGAGTCTCTGCTGGTTTAGCACCTAACAACCATGTTTCTTCAAGTAGATCAAGAACATATTTTCTCTAACATAGGTTGATCCCCTGTTTTGACCTCGCAACCTCTATTCCTAGGAAATACTTCAGCTTCCCCAAATCTTTCGTATTGAAGTGGTCCTGTAAGAATTTCTTCGGCCTATCAATTCCATTGCTGTCACTTCCAGTTATGACAATATCATCCACATACACGATTAGCAAGATTTTCCCATCCTTTGAGTTATAGCTAAACACAAAATGATCAACCTGACACTGTTTCATCCCAAAGGCCTTCACCACTTCACTGAACCTGCCAAATCATGCATGTGGAGATTGTTTCAGTCTATAGATTGCCTTTTTGAGCCTACACACCTTACCAGCCTCCCCCTGAACAACAAACCCTGGTGGTTGCTCCATATACACCTCCTCAACAAGATCACCATGTAGGAAGGCATTTTTTATGTCCAGTTGTACGAGAGGCCAATCATACATAGCAGCTAACGAAATCAACACTCGAACTGAACCAATTTTAGCCACAGGAGAGAATGTCTCCATATAGTCCACACYATATAACTGAGAATAGCCCTTGGCCACTAACATTGCCTTCAATCGTTCCACACTGCCATCAGGAAGATACTTCACTATATAGACCCATTTACACCCAACAGTGTGCTTACCAGGAGGAAGAATGGTGAGTTCCCACATGTGATTATGTTGTAGAGCAGAGAGTTCTTCTTCCATGGCTTGCCGCCACCATGGGGAGGTAAGGGCTTCCTTCCTGTACAGTCTTGGGAATGGGAACAGATGAAAATAATGATATAAACTTGCAATGAGAAGCAGAAAGGTGAGCATTGGAAACATAGTCTGAAATGGAAAGAGTTCTATAACAACTCTTACAAAAGTCTGGGAACAATACATAGATCTGATGCCTTGATCAAATTGTTTACTGGTGTGGGCACTTTCATGGATAGAACCCATTTAATGATGGATCCTGATCTTCTAAGCACACAGTATTGTGATAAGTTACAAGGGCCCCAGTCCAAAATTTTATGTCCTATTACTCTTGTAGAGGGAGACACAAGCCACTCCTGTATATATGATAAGTATTTGTTTAAGGAACCATTTGAAAACAGCTGAAGTGGCCAAACTAAATGAATTATTGACTTTTCTTAAGAGGTTGTGAGCTCCTTAGAAGCTGAAGCTCAAGTTGGGCTGATTAATATACCTTCTACTATTTCATTATTTAATTATTTTATCTGCTAAAAGACAAAACAATAAGTCATTCAATTGATCACTTCAGTCATTATCAAATGGCCCCTTAGTGAACAGAGTATTGCTTAGCCATTTAGAAGACCATAGCCATTTAGAAGACCAGAGTTCCAAACCTTATAGCTCAATATTATGTCTTTTCTGTTATGTGACACCCTAACCAAGCCAAAGAGCTTGCAAATCCAACCAAACTTAAACAATCTTGAACTATGCTTTGTTAAGGAATAAACCCCTCAGGATTGGTTTAGGTGGATGAATTTGGATTGGTAATGAGATTTGGTGACTTTGGTCAAGTTAGGATTGGCCCTAACCCTGATCCAAGTCAACCAAGTTGAAACTCTTGTTGGGTGCACATAACTATTATATAATGTTTGGGATCAGATGTCTCCCTTGCTAGAGGGAACCAACAGAATGGACTTTTACTTGGGGCCTTCACCAGGGAAGTAGGTGGTTTTGTTGGAATTTGATGGTTCTTATGCCTGATGGGTGATGCAGGCTGGTTTCAGCCTTTTATCTTCTTTCCCCTGTACATATCTTTAAAATTTTTTAATTAAAAAATTGTGTTTGATCTGTTAATGAAAAATAATTGAGATCAGGTAATGTCTTGTCAGCTCAGATCACTTAACAAAAATAGCCTATAGCATGGAACAGTGAACTCAAATTAATAGCAATGTCATGGGAAACCTAACATCTGATCATGTGTAATTAGTTTCAGCTTGAGCGAAGTGAAGGATTGGGTAGAACAAAGTCAATTAAATATGTCAAAAATTCTTAGAAGGAGTTACTATAAGTTGGGCAACTGGTCTTGGTTGAGATTTTGGTTGGACTCTTGGTGTGGTTCAAGGACCTTGGCTGATTCTTACCCTAGTCTTTTCAATGTTGTCATCAACAAAGAGGCAACTGTGGCTGATTATTTCTTTGTTTAGGGAAATTCTGGTACCCGGTCTCCCATTTTTAGAAGGAACCTCTTTAATTGGGAAATTGAGAATCTTGAGGGCATGCTCCTCCATCTCCAGAAATTTCAGCGAAATGACTCTGAGGATAGCAGAATTTGGAAGTGGGATAAGAAAGGGAATTTTTCAGTCAAATCAATGATGCAACACTTAAGCTTGGGTAACCATTATTTCCCCTACAGAGCTGTTTGGGCACAAAAACTCAAAAAGTGCCTTCAAAGGTTGCCTTTCTTGTGTGGACAGCAGCCCTAGGGAAATGCCTTACCAAAGATAAGCTAAGTAGGAGAAGTATCTCTCTCACCTCCCCTAATTGCCCTCTGTGCAATGCTGCTCAGGAGACTGCAGACCATCTCTTTTTGCACTGCCCAGTGAGCAGACTTATCTGGAGTCATTTGATGGTCAACCTCCAGTTGAACCGGGTTTTTCCTAGCACAGTTTCCAGTTTCCTTAACAGCTGGTTCATTGAAGGCCTCTCCAATAATGGCAAATTAATTTGGGGTATGATACCAGCAACTGTGTTTTGGACTATTTGGATGGAGAAGAATAGCAGAATTTTTTAAGGCATATTCCCCCAAATAGATGAAGTAATACACAGCATGCCAGCAAAGGTTCTCTTGGGCAACAGCATCTAATTTCTCAATCGCTGACCTTTTTGTAATTAATAACTCATAGTTCTTACTGCGGGATTCCCCTAATGTGCACCTTTTCTCAAAAAAGAAAAACAAAAGTCAAAGTGTATGGGTTTTTTATATCAAGTAAAATCTTGCTCAAGAATAGACAAGAACTAAGAAATTATTTGAGTGCAGCTGAGGAGGTATGCAAGTGACTAAATGTAACCATTAATTTGGTAACTATTGTCATAACAATAGGGTATTTTGTTAAAACTTCCAATTTATCCAAAGAAAAAACCTCGGTAAATTTATATAAGGGCCTTTTCTAGAGAGAGACTGGGATGTTAAAAAATCAAAGGCTACTGGTTTAGTGAAACAAAGTTCCCAAGGAAAAAAGTTGACACACTTCAGTCATTTCATATTTGGGTTCATAACTGCAGTGGTTCTCACCAAAACTCTCTACTTGGGCACTACTGAAGGCTTCTTTAGCATTGCCCCACTGAATGGAGAGATCTAACACAATTTACGCATTGTATATCTCATATTTTTTTGAAAAAAAAAATATTGAAATTATAAATTATAATTTCAAAAAAATCATATTTTACCTTCAAGTTAAAAAGGTATTGAAATTAGAAATTAAACGCAAAAGAGGAGAAAATAACCTATTTTCCACCATGTATATCTAGGTACCACAATTCTCATCAAATGTCATCCACATTATTAGGCACCACCAAAAATTTATTTACTACTGGCTCCCTGAATAGAAACATAAGTAATGGCCACATCATTCAATAATTTAAAGGAAGAAATAGGAAGAAGAGCAACAAACTATGAGTTCTTAAGATTGATGTAGAGAAACTTCAATAATTGAAGTGACAAGCATGAGGAGGGCAATCCTTGTATTGCAAAATCATGGAAACAAGAAAAGGATTCACATCATAAGCTCTCAAATATTAAATTATAATGAACTTTAGCTGCTTATAATGCCCCTAGTTTGCAATAAAAGAATTAAAGAATCACAGTGATCACAAATAAAAAATGCATTTAAAAATCTATATGCCGATTTCCCAAAGAAATAAAAGCAATACCTTTAAATTCGTCCTCCCACACACCATAATTATTCGTAAAAGGAAGATCTGGTCCAACGAGGCCAACTTTTAAGCCTAACTTAGCCGATTCTGCAGCCAAAGAGAGGCCAGCCGGACCACAACCAATCACTACCAAATCAAGTATAGACTCTCCAACAGTTATTGATGGCAACTGCATCATGGATAAGTAATCAGGGATGTTATTGAAGTAATAAGAAGAAGAAGAAGAAGAAGAAGAAGAAGAATGCAGGTGCATAGTAGAAGTGTAACAGTAATACCATCTTAAAAAGACATAAGAAAATAGAAAATGAAAACTCACTTTCTACTATCCTATATGGTTTGTTTCCCTATTAACAAACCATCACCCAACCCAAAAACTCAACTACTATCCTAGATGTTAGATCCCCAATACAAGTTTTAACTTTGAACAACCCCTCTAGCTAGGGAGTCTGCCTTAGTATCCAGTTAAAGCTCAAAAGTCAGAACTAGTAGAATTACCTATTCTAAAGGGACCAGAATGAACCATAAAAACATCACTTCCATAGTTGGTGAACACCCTATTACTGAATATCTTGGGTTGCCAACTGTTTCTAACCATCACTTCCATAGCTCAAAAGTCAGAACTAGTACATGCAATCAGTATGATTTCTTTACTCTATCAAGAAAAGTGGGAGTTTTAAACAATCTATTCAGAAAAAAAAAAAAAAAGAGTTGTGAACAAAATAAACTATGAAAACTTGGTCATAACACCATATTGAACTCAATGGCATATGAACAAGAAACAATTTTCAGAAATTGATCCTCCTCAGAGACAAGTCAGCATGCCTGAGATGATGTCTATATTAGCAACTTGCAAAAAATAGACAAGCAAATTATAACTTTGATAGATTGCAGTGTTCATACCCAGACCATAGTTGTCAAAGTGTCGCCTAGGCAACAAGGCACCTATGGAGGATCATCTCGCTTAAGTGCCTACAAGGCACTATAAAATATTTTTATTTTTATTTTTTAAGATTATAATAATAAACTAGACATTATTAGACTAGATTATTAATTTTGTGGGTTTAAATACTAGTTTCCTTTTATTGTTTTCATATTTGTTAGGGTTCAAACAACATGCAAGTTAGCTTATGCTGTCTTGAACCCTTGAAGACTTAAAACTTGAACAATAAGCAATGAAGAACTTAAATTTTTGTCCAATCATGAATATGTTGAATTTTTTATGATGGATCTTAATTGTAACATGATTCCAAACACTTTGGGGGGGGTAGAAAAAGATAACAAGTCACCATTATGGGGTGATTGGGGTACCTGACACTATCATTCTTTTAAATATATCCAATTCCTTTTTCAAATCAATAAAGTTTACCTATTACCAATCAAAAAATATGTTGATTCTCTATGTTTTTATATGAAATTTATATGTTATATGAAGATTATTGATAATTATTATCCTCATCTTGGCACTTTGAGAACCATGACCAAGGCCCTAGTTTGAGGTCTTTCTGGGTTCGGGCCTGGATATGAAACAAGTGGTTCAAGACCCAAGCCTACCAAATGATCATAAATAATTAGGTTTGTGGAAATTGATAAAGGGAAAAAGTGGATTTACTCTCTTCCCCCACACAAATTTCAACATTCATATGCTAAAATATTTATGAGTATTTTCTAACCAATTCCAGTGATGGACCCAGTTCTTAAAGGATCTTAAATCTATGGGCCCAAGTTCGAAGAAATTATGCTCGACACCAATTTTTGTCCACACAAACCCTACTAACTAGACCAGGTGTGTTGGGTATCAAGGTAACCACCACCACCCCTATGCTGGATGGAGTATGGTGTCAGCTGTTGAGTTGCATTAAGTACTCTATTAACCTTTTAATGAAGAGAATTTTTATTATTGAGAAAGAGTATTGCAATAAAACATTCATCTCTTCGATTTACATGAAAACATCAAAAAGGCAAAATAAAATGAAAAATAAAGAAAGAAAAAATCCACCATATATCAGCATTGACAATATAATTAGACCCAAAAGATCTCTTAACATCTTCAAATGAAAATTAATATTGTCAACCCTTAACCAATATTTAGCGCAACTACACAGTTGGTACAAGCATAAATGGGCTTAGTTGCGTGTGATAAAAAGATTTTGAGCATTGTTGATCGGAAAAATAAAAAATGATTTTGGGCATTGATTTGTGTAAAGGATGGTGGAGCTCACTATTCAATATATGTACATGGTACTCTTTTTTCCATTCACTTGAGGATGTTTGTAGGAGAATCCATGAATGTGTTTATGATACTCAAATCAATTTCAATGATAGTAAGAACGCAAGTCTACTACAACACAAACTCAATGTACCAATGTTATAGAATGCAGGTTATTACATTGTCAAACTTTCATCCTTTGCACATGAGCATTCCAAAATCTGAACAGCCATTATGTGGTCTAATTTGAATGGTTATCTAGGTTCAATTAAAATGCTAGGATAATCTTGTAGGTTGTGGTTTGAGGGGCCACTAAATGAGGAACTTCAAAATAGGCAATATATTTCTTGTGGCAATATGGATCACAGGATTATGAGATTCTCTTTATGTTCCTAATATAAAGTATGCTAGTGACAGAAAGAGAATCAAAAATCTTGATCAGGACATGGAGATTCCTTTTCACTCAACTCGCAGCATATAAATAGAAGCTTCATAAGGTTAATTTCTTTTCAGAAAAAATAAATAGAAGCTTCCAATATAGGTAGGAAAATGAACTAATTGCTTAATTTAACGATAATAGATCAGGAAAATAAAATGTCAAAACCATTTGAATTTTAGAAGGGATCAAAGGTAAAATCAATACGTGTATAAGTGGATTAAGGGTCGTTAGAAATAGAAGCAAAAGCCTGCCCCACCATCACCACCATGGCACCATCCCCATGAGAAAACATTTATTATCCATCTAGCTACTTGCATGAAAGCACTAGGGACAGTAGATACGTGCCATTTTTAGTCTGGCAACCAAATCGTTTGGTATTGGATGATCAATAGATGTAAACTGCCACACAATTACCTACCAAATTGCTTCACGATTCATTTGGAACTCCAAAGGACTCGGTAATTAGTTAAAGAAACTCTTGCTCAACCAATTTAAAATAAACAAAGAACAAGCCTTCAAACAATTTGCTTTTAAAAAATGCAACTGGTATGTTATGCAAGTCCTCCTAGGTGTATAAGTGGATTATGGGTGACTAGAACTAGAAGTAAAGGCCCCACCCTCACCACATTGGCGCCATCCCCATGAGAAAACATTTATTATCCCTCCAGCTACTTACAAGCATGAAAACACTAGAAACAGTGGACATGAATTTTAGTCTAGCAACCCTGTGGTTTGGTATCGAGTGATTAATAGATGTAAACTGCCATATAATTACCTAGAAGATTGCTTCGTGAGTCATTTGGAACTTCAGGGCACTCGGTAGTTATTGTTAAAGAACCTCTTGCTCGACCAATTTAAAATGATCAAAGAACAAACCTGCAAACTATTTGATTCTAAAAAATGCCACTGATATGCTATGTAAGTCTCCCTAAACTCGACCACATAGAAAATATATGGCAATTGAATTAAGTAATAAAAAAATAGCAACATATATACCTTGTCGGCGATCTTCGCCTGCTTGTCCATGGGCTTGGTCTGCTGCATTTGGACAAAAAGTAGCTCCGAACCCCCAGCTTTGATATAATCTTCCTCGTCAACAAAATCTTCTTTAACGACCACACAGCTTTCACTCCCATCACCAGCCCTCGCTTGTATAGTTGGTATACGGGAACGGTACCAATGAAGCCGAGTCGAGTGTTTCCCACTTAGTCTCCTTGCTCGACACCTCCGTGCAGGGGAAGGATAACCCGCCATTGCTGCAATGTTTCGAGTTCCAAGACACTCCATCATGACCATTGTTCTTATCTCTGCTTCATAACCTCAGCTCCGTCGCCATTAGCTTCAGAGTATACAATGAAGACGATATCATCGACTGTGACAACAGTCATTCACTCTTTCCGTGTCTTCCTCTGTTTTTCTGAGGAAAGAGAATAAGAGATAGAGGAGGCGCAGTTTTCCGAGTTATGAGGTGTTGAACTGAAGGATCGTATCATCCTTTAGATCACCACGTGGCCAAAGATAATTAATTCTTTTTTCGCAATGAAGCAAAAAAGGATTATGGATATTGTTTTTTTTCGCAATGAAGCAAAAAAGGCCAAAATCCTTGCTTTGTCTCGTAGAAATACCGGATCTGCTCTTCACACAGGCGCCTCACACGCACATCGTACCATGCATTAGAAACACCTCCCGTACTTATAAATTATTATTCATTCCCAATGCACGGTAGATGTGTAAGGAGCAAATACCCTTCTCCTGATTTTAGATGTTTGCTAATTTTGCATTGAAATTCATTTTATAAACTGAACAAAGAATGAAATCCCGAATAAGAAAATTATCCCAAATCTCCGCTAGAAGAGTCCGAAAGAAAAATATACAATGAAAATGAAAAAAGTAAAAGATATATAATTAAAATTGTTAGAAAAAATATATAAATAATTTAAAAAAAATACCTCCAATTAGGGGTGATCATTTCAGCCCATCTCAGAAATTTTGGGCTTGAGTCTAGGTTTTATGTTCAAGCTTGGCCCGGGCTCGAGCCTACATCAGGCCCGCAAATTTTAGGACCGGGTTTGGGCTTAATACTTCAAGCCGGGCCTGATTTGTATATATTTAAATTTACACATTTTGTGTATAATGTATATATATGTATACATGTTATTTTACATTATATTATATATTTTATATATAAATATTACAATATGTATAATTTATATTATATGTAATATTTTATATTATATATTGTATAAAATAAGTTTATATGGATGTTGTGTCATTTAATATATAGATATGTAATGTTTTATATATGAGTGACATTGGCCTAGAATCAAGCTCAGCCTTGCCCGGGCCCGTATAGACTTGGGTTAGGACTTATGTTTTAGGCCTGAAACCCCGGGCTCAGGCCTAAGCTATAGCCCTTATCATAAGTGCAAAGCCCAACCTAAGCCTAGCCCATGATCACCCCTACCTCCAATTCATAGAAAAAAAAGACGCATACATTGTTCATGTTAGGGTGATGGTTGAGTTGGCCAAGGATGCCACGTAGCTATCTCCGTGGTTGCCCCCCTCGTAGGCCACGTCAACATCACGTGTAATGGAATAGCACAACTAAGGGGGTGTTTTGTAGTGTGGATGAGAAATTGGTGGGTGTGGATTGGTCCACACCACACCCTGTGGCAAGGACCAATCCACACCACACCATAATCCATAGATGTTTTGAACTGTGGACAAACTGAATAGACTAGACCAGTCCACACCTACAGTGACATTATGTAGGCGTGGTGTCCATACCACACTTTATGATTTCATGTATCTCATATACATTTTATGAATCATAAATATCTAATTTTTGCATTTTATATGATAAATATATTGAAAAATGCATCAATGAATTAATGTTAACCAATAAATATTAATTTTTATAAAAACAATAGTAAAATAATTAAAAATTAAAAATATATATTTTAAATATTTAAAAGTATTAGTTTATTGATGAAGCATTAAACAATTAAATAAAATAATTAATATTTTATTGACAAAAATATTAACAAATAATATCTAAACAAATTTTTGCAAGACTAAGCATTAAACGATTTATGCAAACTAATAATCCATTGATTCATGTACTAGTTGTAAGACGAGCATAACATCAATAGGGAAACACAGTACAAGGATTTTCGAAGGGAAACACTGTTCGCACAATAGAGAAAACAAATATAACGATCGGCTAAACAGAGATAGAGATAGAGAGAGAGAGAGAGATAAACTTATATTGACAGGTGGACCGATGGAGGAGAGTTGTAGCGGTGGAGAGCTTTAGTAGGCGATGGAGACCTCCAATAGTAAAATGTGAAGCAGACACAATAGGGTTTCAGCCTTTCAGGGAGAGTGTGAAGCAGGGGATTAGATAATAGACTGTGGACAAGCCCTAACCACAAGTTTTTGCCGTTACTGCTAAGTTGGGGTGTGGATGGGATCGATCCACAATATAGCATGGACCGATCCCGTCCACAGCCAGTTGAATAAGTGTTCATCCCGTGGACCAAACCGAAACGGTCCCATTCACATGATTAACACCAAATCGAACACCGTCTGAGGGGGTGTTTTATAGTGTGGATGAGAACTTGGTGGGAGTGGACCAGTCCACACCACACCCTGTGGTAGGGATCAATCAACACCACACCACAATCCATAGCTATTTTGAACTGTGGGTAGATTGTGTGGACCAGTCGAGTCCACATCCACGATGGCATTCTATAGGTGTGGTTTGGACCAATCCACACCACATTCCATGTATATCATATACATTTTATGGAAGATCTACACAATCGATCATAAATGTCTAATTTTTGCATTTTATATGGTAAATAATTTGAAAAAAAGGCATCAATATGTAAACAATAATTGCATATTTTTAAACAATTAAAAAATATTATTTCAAACATTAAAAAAATAAAATTTAATATTTTAAATATTATTTTATTGATATATTAAAAAATAATATTTAAATAATGAAAAAAATAGTTGAGAAGGAGAATCGTCGGACTTGTGCTAGAATTAACATTAAAAATTATTATTTTATTGGTAAAATATTAAAATTTTAAATTTTAAAATTTATTAAAAGATTAAATAAAATGAGAGTAATTGGACCAATGTAACGCAGGTGTAGACACCATAATCCGTCCACACCATAGTGTGGACCATCAACGAGAAAATATTGTGGACGATAAATTGGGGTGTGGCCTGTCCCTATCCACACTATTTTGTTGACGGGGATTGTCCACACAGTAGAACACCATATCTTATCATGGACAGGACCAAAACGGTCATGATCTCGTCCATGATATTTACACACTATTGAACGTTACCTAAAAAAGAGTATCTTACACAAACAAGGAAGCAAACTTTGTTGAGGAAGAGGAAACATCCCAAAGACCTTGGCAAACACCCTCATCTCAACAACCCTAAAACCCTACCTATCTAGGACACGAACGCTCAATTATAAATAGGTATTTCTTGTTTGAGGTAAGGGACTTTTCAAACTGCACTCTTTGAATACCTCTTTGCACTCTCTTTGGCTTGGATCAACACTATTTCAACATTCTCAACCCGACCACATCCTTATCGATCCTACTAACTTAAGCATCGGAGTACCTACCTAGGGAACAACTCCTTGGGCCTTTGACCATTCTCCTGGTTGCAATTCTCAATGTGTGGCTTCGTCCTTCCACCTCAACCTCGTCCGGTTGGCGGGACTATCTAACTGTGTCATTGATTCGGAACACCTTAGATCAAATAACATCATATTGGCACAATCTATGGGATACGTACAAAAAGTCATTTCTCAAACCCCTTTTCGCACACTAAAAACAACAATGCCTAAGAACACATTTGACCTCTCTAGAGCCCATTCCCCATCTTAGGGATCCCACTCACTTTGCAACTCTCTGTCTTAGGAGCCCCAACACCAAACAACAGTCGATTCGATCCCGCATAATTCCTATCCATGCAGCAGAAAAGTTGACTATATCCTCACCATGATGGACATGTTAAGACAACCAACACACTCAGGGATCCCGCTCACTTTGCAACTCTCTGTCTTAGGAGCCCCAACACCAGACAACAGTCAACCCCGCATAGTTCCTAGCCATGCAGCAGAAAAGTTGACTATATCTTCACCATGATGGAGATGTTAAGACAACCAACACACGCCCCCCAAGCCACTCGCCATGGTGTGCAGACACCTACCACGGCCAATCTTCGCACCGAGGACTCCAAAAGGCGTCATGCGCACGGAGCCCAGTCCGACCGCGAGTATCCGCAGCCAGCACCCCTAGGTTGTGACTCATTTTGTTCGGTTGTAGAACAGAACACCCCCTGAATTGGCGGCTTGGCGCCGAGGTGACACTGTTATTTATGGGAAACGGCAATTGAAGTAAACGTGACACCGTTATTTCTCGATTTACGTCTGTCATTACACTCGGGATCTGCTAGTCACAAGTGTGCGAACCCGGCTATATGACAATCACGAGGGAACACACGTTCGCACACTTGTGAATCAGCAGGTCAGGACTGCCAGCAATCCAACATCAACCATTCCAATAGACGCTATTAGTGAAGCTCACTAAATACCCGGACGTAGAAAAGTTAATACAGAAATACCCGGGCCCCGACGGCTTTCATTTCTCCCAAAGCCTATTTCGGTCTCTTCGAGCTCCCTCATTGCTTTCAGCCCATAAAACCCTAGATTCCCTTCCCCAAACCAAGCCTTATAATTCGCGGAGCTCCAACGTAGCCTAGATACGCGGATTTGCATTCATAAAGGGAATGGGAAAACGAAGGTAGGAAAAAGAAAATTTTGGTGCAGAGGAGCCAATAATCCAAGCTTATCTCAGAACTCGTAAGTCCCCCCTTCTTCTTGCAGTTATGTCTGTCAATTTCATTGATCATTACAGTTTTAAGCTAAACAGCAAGATTTGGATTCTAGTTCGAAGCATTCATTTCTTTGCTTTTGCCTTTGAAATAGTTGCATGCCAAGGAATATACAGGGTTTCACCTGATTTACAACCTTCAATAGGAAAAAAAAAATTGAATATTTGTTTATCATTCATTTCTGTTCTTTGAATTTCCATTTTCTTCGAACAGTGGTCATCTTAGATCCGATTTGACAAAGTAAGATTTAATGTTAATCTGTCTATTTACAGAGTGCAGTATTTCAATAGATTATTGCAATGGCTGATAGCAATTCGTCACATGATTACCCCAGCGAAAACCCAAAGCCCGATCCCGATGCCAATTCATCTCTTGGGAACGATAGTTCAATTGAGGCCATAGCCCGAAGAGTTCAGGATTCGCTTTCTTTAGGGAAGAAGCATAAGTTTTGGGAAACCCAACCTGTCGGGCAATTTAAAGATGTCGGGGATACGAGCTTACCTGAAGGTCCAATTGAACCTACGACACCCTTATCCGAGGTCAAGCAAGAACCTTACAATCTTCCCAGTCTCTATGAATGGACCACTTGCGACATTGACGATGAAGATACTTGCACCGAGATATACAATCTCCTCACTAATAATTACGTTGAAGATGATGAGAACATGTTCAGATTCAATTACTCCAAGGAGTTTCTTCGCTGGGCACTTCGTCCTCCTGGCTACTTCAAGAGCTGGCACATTGGTGTCCGTGTAAAAGTCTCAAAGAAACTTGTTGCCTTTATTACGGGTGTTCCTGCAAAGATCAGAGTCCGTGATGAGGTTGTTAACATGGCAGAGATTAATTTCCTATGCGTTCATAAGAAGCTCAGATCAAAGAGGCTTGCACCTGTCATGATTAAGGAGATTACCAGGAGGGTTCATTTGGAGAATATTTGGCAGGCGGCTTATACTGCTGGAGTTGTTCTTCCAACACCTATATCAACTTGCCAATATTGGCACAGATCACTAAACCCAAAGAAGCTTATCGATGTTGGTTTCTCCAGACTTGGTGCAAGGATGACAATAAGCCGAACAATAAAGCTCTATAAATTACCAGAATCAACAGTCACTCCAGGTTTTAGGAAAATGGAGCTGCGTGATGTTCCAGCAGTTACCCGTCTAATCAGAAATTACTTGAGCCAGTTTGTTGTTGCACCGGATTTTGATGAAAATGACGTGGAACATTGGCTCCTTCCAACTGAGAATGTTGTGGATAGCTATTTGGTTGAGAGCCCTGAGACTCATGAAGTTACGGACTTTTGCAGCTTTTACACACTTCCATCATCCATTCTTGGAAACCAGAACTACTCAACCTTGAAAGCTGCTTATTCATACTATAATGTATCTACCCAGACACCATTGCTTCAGTTGATGAATGATGCACTTATTGTGGCCAAACGGAAGGACTATGATGTCTTCAATGCATTAGATATCATGCAAAATGCGTCTTTCCTAAAGGAGTTGAAATTTGGACCTGGTGATGGCCAACTTCACTATTATCTGTATAATTATCGGATAAGGCATACGTTGAAACCATCAGAGCTTGGGCTTGTCCTCTTGTAGGTGAGTTCCGCTGAACTTTGATTTTATGGCATCAATACGGTGGAAATATTTCTGGCAGTGTTAAGTTGTTGTGGACTGTATTCAATAGCCCTGCTCTTGTTTCTCCACAACCTAGCATGCGATATTACTGTGAATGCGAGAGGACAGGTTTTAATGACATATTGTAGCTTGAGATGCTTCCGCAAGTAGCAAATGTTGAGCCTGTGCATGTCTGTTTGGAGCTGAAATAAGGTTGGAGTATGGAAAATCTTTTCCAATTTTGACTTTTCCCTGTTTAACATTTATATTTTCTTCTTGCCTTTAACTGTTTTTGCAATTCATGTTTGCATACATCTATAGCAGATGTGGAATTGTTTGCATTGGGGCTTTCCTTTTCTTCTCTTTTCTTTTTTTTTTTTTTTGGTTATTTATGCTAACAATTTGTTCTTGTTTAAGGTTCAGAGGAGCGTTTAGTAGCTTACTTTCCCAATGTCTCATGGTGGTTTATTTCCATTTAGTATGTTGCGTTTGATTCTAGTTATATCCTACCTCATAATCCCTGGTTATTGCAACCAACTAATGGGATTTACTTATTTTTATCAATAACTACAATCAAGAGGATTTTGTTAATGTGTTAAGGATGAAGATACAAGAGAAGATCTCAAATTTTGAATGGATTTCAAAAGTGGGTACTGAGAGAGCAGGAGCTGACCTATGAAAGCTTAATGACAGGCCTGCTTCGAATAGAGTAGCAATATCTTGGAAGCTTATTAGCAGACTAGCAGTCTAGGTTGCTCATCTTAGTTTGAGAGGATTTATTCATCCTTGATAATAGTTGTAATTTTGTTCCTTCAATTGAACTAAAAAAAACGATAATACTTTGGAGATTTGTAGCTTTTCATGACAAACACCATGGTGTTTACTAAGCTTAGTGTGAATTTACCTTACTGTGAGAGCGGATAATGTCATAGGTTCCTAGTTGTTTTTGATATAATTTGAAGTAACTTGTCGAAATCTACATTTGGGTTCTGAACTCCACACTGAGGTTGCCCATGTCTCCATGGCTAAGAAATAGAGGCTAATATCTTATGTTTTGAGAAAACACTGCAAATATGCTGTTTTTGTCACTTGGTGGTCTATATTAGGTACTGAAGGCAAATTAGCGTATCGAATAATTTGGTGGTCAATTGGTCATGCAGATGCGGAAATGCTTAATGGTGAAAGATATGACCTGGGTTTTCTACTTGTCTTTCTTCTTCATTTTCTTCTATCTTTTTCACTCCACTATTTAATTAGAGGATGTATCTGGTAGTGACAAGGAGCATTCGTGTCATTTGGCATAGAGATATGTGAGAATAAAGGTACTTCAAATTGTATATCGTCTTGGTCATTGTTTGTGGGCGTGGTGAGTACGTAAGGAGGAACTTACCTAAAACCATATTGAGTGGCGATGGAATAATTAGGGTATGGTATGAAATAAAGTATACTATGTCTAATATGCATGTTTGTTGGTTCTCTGCTTTTCTTTTTCATGGGGAATACTTTGGGTGTACAAAGATACTTTCTCTTGCACTCTTGCTTTATTTTATTTTTATTGTCTCGTTCTTTTCTTGAAGAAGAACATTGCGTAAGCGTGTAGTCGTGTGGGTTCCTTTACATCTTATCATCCTTTGCAGTGTTTGATCTGGTCCCTTTTTTTTCATTGTTGTATTGCATAAAGAATACAATATTTAGATAGAGATTCTGGTCAAATGGATAACAGACATGAGAACATGGGTTCGAGTTCACCCATTTAGGGCTGTCAATGGGTTGGGTCTAGGTTGAGGTTCAGGTGGAGCCGGAACCAATCCGACAAGAAATATTAAGCACGCAGAACCGATCCAGACCCTATAGGATCGATCGGTTCTCGGGATAATTGGGTCTGAGTCGGTTCAGGAGTAAGTAGAACTGGTTCTGAACTGATAGTGATCAACATATCAGAAACCAGAACCAACCTATTGGTACCAGATCTTAGAACCAGAACTGACCGAATTGGTCTGGGTCGGACCCGGTCCATTGGGTAATGGCCTATATTTTCAGCCAAATCTATTTAAAGTGATGTCACATCCTAATTGCTACTCTATTATTAAATTATAAATCATAACCGTTAATCAGCTTGTTTTATCAAGCAGGCTTCTAATGTCACGGCCTTTACGATGTTGCATTGCTGAACAATGCACACAGCAACGCAAAAATGGCAGCAGGCAGCCACGCCAAACGCCACTTTTGAAAAATTTCCAGTTAGCTTCCTCAGCATCCAAAAACAGCATTATAAACTAATCACGTGAAAAGCTTATTTTTCTAGTTTAATCTTAAATCCACGGAATACTAATAAAAAAATATGAAATCCACGAAACAGCACAAACCATGTCTACCACCTACAGAGCTTGATCGGAACTTGAAAAATGAGAAAATTTCAACATATTGCTTCACTTTTCCCCCTTACAATTAATCCCAACTTATGATTGAATAACAGATTATATTGCTGCATATTCTTCCCACATTTTAGTTGTTTGATTATTTTGCTGCCTGAAATTGTGATTGGTCTCTCAATACAAATCATATTTTCACCGAGGCATTTGGTTCACAGTTGGAATCGGAATCTGAAAGGTCTATTCCCAAATTCTGTTTGATTCAGACAGGAATTGGAATAAGCTGGATTGAGAATTGGGATTTCATTCGCAAAGGAGGGAAAGGGAATGGCTATTCCTACAAAGTACAAACCAAACCGGTCCTAAGTAATTGCAATAAATTCAGTATGAAGTAAAATGCTATTCAATTAAAATAAACATATATAGCAAGTTGCATTCTTTTGACTGAACTGACTTTACTGTATAAATTATAAAATGCTTGTATCCCTACTGATGCTACAAAAATTTCATAACGAGGGGATCATGCAGAAATGCGATATTTCCCACGTTATGATCAGTTCTGCAATCTCGAATGAGCCTGAAAAAACTGAATAAATGACTGACTGGAAAATTTTGGTTACAACTACACTTTTTACCTCTCTGGTCAAAAATCAAATCAAAAGAACATTATCTCATCAAAGAAGATCGGCAACATTTGAGGGTAGTTCCTCGATAACCACATTGTAGAACCTCTGGATGTCATAGAGCATCCTCTCGTCATTACGCGTCACAAAATTGATGGACACTCCTTTCCTTCCAAACCGCCCACTGCGGCCAATACGGTGGAGATAGTTCTCCGGTTGAGTCGGCAGATCATAGTTAATGACCAAGGATACATGCTGGACGTCAATACCTCGGGCCAGAAGGTCAGTCGTAATGAGCACTCGTGAGGACCCAGATCGAAATTCACGCATGATAATGTCTCTGGTGTTCTGGTCCATGTCTCCATGGGTGGCCGAGACGGTGTGGTCCTTGCTCCGCATCTTGTCAGTCAGCCAGTCAACCTTGCGTCGAGTATTCACAAATATGACACTGAGTGATGGCCAAGGTTTCATAGAGATCACACAGTGTCTCTAGCTTCCATTCTTCCTTCTCAACATTGACATAGAATTGCTTGATACCCTCAAGAGTGAGCTCGTCACGCTTCACCAGAATCCTCACGGGCTTGTTCATGAATTTCCTTGTGATCTCTAGTGCTTCAGGTGGCATCGTGGCAGAGAAAACACCAGTTTGAACTTTGGCTGGTAGGAGCTGGAATATGTCATAGATCTGCTTCAAGGAGTTGCATCTTTCATGTTAGGAATTTAGGATATGCAACAAACATCTACATATTAAACCTACTACTGCACAAAATCAAGACAACAAAAAAGAAAGTCTTCTAATAAAAGCTTGTCCCTGATAGTCATCTATCATGAATTTAGGCAGAAATTAAAAACAGAATGATTTGACCACCCTGTATATAGACCTGTTCATGGGCCGGGTGGGCCGACGGGTCGGCCCGGCCCCCGGATGAGTTTGAACACACAATTGAGCCCGTGGGCTTGACCTCGGGCCAAAAAGCCCGACATGCAATAAATTCGAGCCAGGCTTGGGATTTGCCAAAATAGCCCGGCCCGACCTATAGATTAAACTCAAAAACCCTAATATCCTAATTCCTAAGTAACCCCTCTTCTCATTCATCTCTTTCTAGTTAGCTGAATTGCCGAACCTCTCTTCTCTTCACAGTGATGCATATCCTCCTCACACTCTCAGGCAGCTGCAGAACTGGTGAACACTCACCGGTGCAACAAGTAAACTCCGGCAGACCGGCAATGAGCCCTCTCTCTCTCTCTTCTTCTCTTTCAAATCTCAGACACCAGCGAGGCGGCGAACACAGGCACCGGCAGCGGCGGTGAATCCTCTCTCTCTCTCTCGTTCCTCTTCTCACTTCTTCTCTTTCAAATCTCAGACACTGGTGAGGCAGCGAACACAAGCACCGGCGGCAGCGGTGAGTCTTCTCTCTCTCTCTCTCTCTCTCTCTCCCATCTTTCTATTAGGTCGGGCTTCGGGCTTTTTATCAGGGCCTGGCTCGGGCCTAACAAAATCCTGTTTATGAAGAGTAAAAGCCTGGCCCAGCCCGGCCCATGAACAGGTCTACCTGTATGTATATTCCGAGTAGTGACTTGTCTAAAGTTTCAACATTTCACCATAAGACTGTATTTGATTTGATAGAAAGTAAGAACAGAGAGACAGGGGAAAGTTCTTATGAAATATCAAGAACTTCCCCTCAACTTTCTGTTTCCCTCTTATCATACTGAACACAAACAAAATGCACAATAGGTAATACACTATATATGCCTCTAATTAGGGAAGTAAATAGAACACAATTCAAGAGCTTAGTACCATTAAGAAATAAAAGTGTCATCTCAAGTCTCAACCTGGTTATAGATAGGGAAGAACAAGTGAAATCACCATCAAAGTATCAAGTTGGAAAAGCAGACAAATTAGCTCAAGACATGAAAATGATACACAAGCAATTGGAAAGGAGTAGACCTGATCCTTGAAACCTCGTGAGAGCATCTCATCAGCCTCATCTAGTACAAACATCTTGATGTAATCAGGGCGAAGTGACTGTCTACGAAGCATATCAAACACACGACCTGGAGTCCCAACAACAACATGAAACCCCACTAGAAAGGATTCTTTCATCCTCTCGGATGCTAGTTCCACCAACACAAGCATGAACCTTCACACCCAAATAATCACCAAGAGCTCGCATAACCTTCTCAATCTGTTGGGCAAGCTCTCTGGTAGGAGCAAGGACCAAAGCTTGGCATTCCAGTAAGTCATAATCTAGTTGCTGCAGGATTCCTGAGCAAAATGTTGCTGTTTTTCCTGTACCAGACTGTGCCTGCTGAATTACATCAAGCCCTTTGCAGAATGGAACTATTCCTCTCTGCTGAATTGCAGAGGGCTTTTCGAATCCTTCAAAAAATAAAGATTACAACAAGTGTAAGTCCTGGAGTTAGAGAAATTTCCAAAAGCTAACTAGCTAGATGGGGAAGAGGATGAGGTTGCCAACGTACCATATGCGTATATGCCTCTGAGGAGGTTCTCTTTTAAACCCATTTTATCAAAAGTATCGAAAACCTCATCATATGATGTAAAGAAGTTTTTTCCATCATTCTCGAGCCTACATTCGTAAACCAAACACAAATTATAAACCTTACCGAGAACAGAGAACCAGATGGCATTAAACCAATCTACTCTAAATCTGTTACTTACAACTCATTCATCTTGCTATCGTATTGACGACCATCAAACTGTGACCCTTCGGGAGCTAACCCTGCCATGACTGTGAAAAGGAGGGGGGTTGTTAGAATAGGAAACAGTCTTTTGTAAGGCACCTAAAAAGCCCAACTCCAGACATCCATCTTTAAGGGCTCAAACCAGCACAGATACATTACACAAACACCACCCGAAGACAATGTCTAGGAGAAAAAAGAAAATCCTCTAAAGTTTTTATTATGCATAATTCCAGAGGTTTCGTCAATGAACACACAGTAATCGATTCTATATTTATAGAGACAACAAAGAACAATGTTGGCACTTCGCAGAAACAAGTACTTTGTTCATCATTGCCCGGAGAGAATGAATCAACGCAGGCAATTTATTCTTCAGGGATGTCATGTCTGTTTCCCTTCTAATAAACTGAAAGAACTTGTTTTATCAGGTAATCAATTATATATCGAGAGAATAGTGGAGAGGGGAATGCTAATTTTGGGTAGCAGCAACTTCAAAATTGAACAAATTCTATTTAGCAATATTTTCTGTAATCTGACGAACCATTCTAAGTCAAGAAAACTCCTTAACAGACAGAGACAACAAAACATATCAAAGCAGATATCTTCTCTTCGTTAGAAAAAAAAAATCAAAACACGAACATGAAAATAATCAAATATCTTTCTCGTCTGTAAACGAGAATCAAATCCCAACAATTAGGCGCTCATTACAATCCTCTCCCTTCTAAATAAAATAAGAAAATAAACTGATAATGCACCAGAACTATACATCAATCAAAAGATGCTCTTCGTAAAAGAAAATGGATTAAAATAAAAAGAGAAGTAAGAAATACCTCTTTTTCTTCGATTGATTAAACTATTACTTTGTTGTTAGATTGTTTTAGCGTCTGTTTGAGCTTTACGAACTCCTCGATCTAAACCGGGGAGTTTCAGGAGCAACAATAATACGAACATACAAACTACCGAACGCCAGCACGTCCATATATGATACAACTGTTAAACGAATACAAATTTTGGAAACCCGAGTTATACACGTATTTAATTTCCTCTCCTAATCGGGATTCGTGCGGTGTACGAAAAAATTTCTTCTATTTGAAGTAGAAAAAGCCTTATAACAATTTTAATTGAACTAGTTCTTACTAAAAAAAATCCAATTAATAAGTTGGCTTCCAAAACAGAAAAAAGAAAGTATCCCATCTAAGTTATATATTGAGATTTTAATTAATTTATGATTTCTTTTAGATTTTGAGAGAGAAAAGTTGATCAATTGGATTTTTTTTTTAATTTATGTGGAAAGCTTCATGTAACGCTTTCCTCAATGCAAAAGTGTTTATTTACTGTTTCTTTGATGTGGTCTAGTTGTAAATAAATCCCTCAAAAAATAAAGATTTTTAATCACTTTTTTTTCAGTTTTGAAGACAAATCAAGTATAAACGTTTAATAAATGGAAGCTATACCAAATACATAATTAGTTTCATGGGTACCACTTATCCTCCCAAGTGGGAGTTCCACTTCAATTAGTGCAGTGCCCATTCGAACAGCTTTGATAGCCTTGCATTAAGAATATCTCAATACTTATGTGCTTTATTTCATGGGGAGATATTCCCAATGCAAGATTGCAAGTTGCAATAGGCTATTTGAAAGGTGTGAGCAAAGGTACACATTGATTGAAGCCGAACTTCTAGGTGGGAAAATAATTTCCCCATCTTAGAGAAAAGTTGATGACACTTGGATGAGATAAAATTGTCCCTTTTAATAATGTCTTTTGATGGTTAAAACAGTCATTGTATTATTTACCTGAAAAATAAAATAACATAGGCAAATGCACATAATCGGATAAATGTTTTATGAGAAATACTTACTCGAGTTACTTAAAGAGCCTCAATCTAATCCATTCAAATATACAACAAGTCAACCCAAAGATTCAATCCAATACGCCGTCATGGGATCTCCTTGGTCTCCTAACATCAGTGACTTAATCTTAACCATCCAAGTGATACGATGATTTTTAACAAGTTAGACCATCCAAATGATATGTCAAATTAACCAACACAACTTAAGTCAGAGAAAAAAAAAAGAGATTTCTTAATGTAATGAATTAATCTAGTCAATCCAATGATGCTAAGGTGATGTTTGGCGTCGACGATGACTTATCCTTGCTGATTACCAATTTATGGAATCAGTGAGTATTGAGAAATCATCAAAAAAATATTGTTTGGTATCATTTACGCCATGTAAGCTGATTTTTGAGGAATCAACCATGAGTCTGTTTGGTATTGATTTTCATGGCCAATTATTTTTGTATTAGAGTTATTATTCAATGCCATGTTAGATGCCATGCCATCATAAAAAATGTCGGAATCAACTAAAAATTAGGAAATCACATGAAAAAAGTGGTCCCTGAAAAGGGTTGATTTCAATAATGGTTTTTGGCTGATTTCCTAGAAATTGGCATAATCAGCCAATCAAATAAGAAAAAAAAAATCACAGACTCTTCAAATTCTAATGTAGCCTACATGACACCGATTTTTGGGAAATCATCATTGGTACCAAGCATCACCTAAATTGAAGCAATGATTTGAGTTGTCAAAATGATAACTTTGTATAATTTTCTTACTTACTTTTCTTAAGCATGGAAATAATATAAACAGACAATTTGATAATTTCCCAATCATTGTTAATATGACAATGTTCTTAAAAAAATAAAGTGCTGTTTGGCAAGTCTTTTTAAAAATATTTTCCAACAATTCAAATGGCCAAAAGACAAGTGAGCTTTTCGGGTATTGTCTTTAAAGACAAAAACTGTTTGATAAGTGGCTTGGTCTATTGGACTTTTAAAAATGTGTTTAGAGGCTATATATCATACATAAATACTAGAAAGTTTCACTTGAAGCTTTATGTAATTTGGTGTTCTCGTTTTTTTTTTGTGAGTCTTTCTATGCATGGGTATTCTCATCATTTTGGCTTTTAGTTATCAAGCTAAAAAAAAATCAATTTTCCGTCTTTCAAACTTGTCAAAGCAGAGAAGACCGTATGAAAACACTTGCCAAACAATGCCTAAATAAATGAATGTATTGCAAAAAATTATACAAAAGGGTTAAGTGTCACGTTTCAAAAACATAGGGAGTTATCTGTAATTTATCCTTTATTCTGCACTCCCTAATCCCTAGTCCCTAGTCTACCGATTCAGCCTGGATCCACATCAAGCTTGCACATAATGCCGGCCAGGGCTCGGCCAAGCAAGCCTTAGACATGACTAGGCCCCGAAATTATTGTATAAATATATTATCACATCTTATATATGTATAATATCTTACATTCTTTTGATAATATTATAGTATTTTACAACATAACATTAATATAATATTACAGCAATAACATATACATATATATATTTTATAATTATAAATATAAAGTTAAATTAAAATTTTAATTTAATTATATGGGCCAGCCCATATGTCCAGCCTGACCTAGCTCAAGCATGCAATATCAGGCCTGGGTGCAGGTCGGGCTAGGCTCGGGCAGGCTTACTCCCGATTTAGGCTTGGCCTGGCCCAGCCAATGATCATCTCTACCCTATCCTAGGCTCTTTTAGGGGTGATCATGAGATTGACTTTACACTTATGATAAGGGTTATATCTTAGGCCTAGGCATGGCCTGGGATTCCAGGCTTGAAACATAAGTCTCAACTCAGGTCTACACAGGCTCGGGCTAGATTATGGGCCAATGTCTTTCAATATATAAAATATTACATATCTATAATATTTTATATTAAATGATATAACATGCATATAAATTTATTTTATACATTATATAATATAAAATATTACATATAATATAAATTATATATGTCATGCTATAATATTTATATATAAAGTATATAATATAATGTAACATAACTTATATGCATATGTATACATTATACACAAAAATGTATAAATTTAAATATATGCGAATCGGGCCGGGCTTGAAGTATTAAGCCCAAGCCCGGAATTTTCGGGTCGGGCCGGCCGGGCTGAAATTATCACCCGCCTCCCCGGTGTAACCTTCCCGCATCCCGCATTCACGCTCTCTGTGCACGAGCAGAACATCCGTCTGAAGCAGCTTCAAATACCAATTTTCGCTTTAGCATATTTTGAAGTCTGAAATGGGCGGGGATGCGAGGAGTTGGGACGAAGAGAGTTACAGAAGCAGCATTGTGCAAGAGAGAGAGCTCCAGTATCGAACAGTTTTCAGGACCATATTCGCTCCATCTCAGAACCCTAATCCAGATATCATTGTAGTCGCATCAAGCGATGGATCTGTTGCTCCATACTCCATATCTTCGTGTATCTCTTCATACGTGAGTCAATCGATTTCATTGTTCGTATGCGATCATTCTACTTTTATTCACAGTTTCATACTCGGTAACTGTACGGGCATCATTGGAATTGCATTCTCTTCAATGCCGGTATTTAACTCCTGAGGTTCAAGAGTTACGAATTTAAACCGTTATTTGAATCTATTATGCTCACTCTTGTAATTAACAATGGATATCGTGAAACTGCCTAAATTGTGGGTTTTCATTGATTGATTTCTGCATCTTACTTCACTTTCTGCTAAATTGTTCTTTTCGTCGAACAAAATTGTGCTCGAATTTGAATGATACTTGTAAGTGACAACACAACTTCTTTGACCAGAACTCTTATTTAATCAAACTATAACTCTTTAAACTCCCAAGGATTATCAACTACAGGAGTGGCAGGATTTCTGCTCATGAATTTACATAGGCCTATATTAACGAACAAGGGCCTTGTCGTCAATTTCTAAATAGAGAAATGCTATTCTCTTGCACTGATTATACTGATGTTTCTTTGTCATCCCTTAATTCTTTAAGTTTTGGTGTTTTTGCAGTCATCACGTTTTAGCAAGACTTGGGATCAACAGTAAGTGCTGCTATCTTGTTTTTGGTCATATTTCACCAGTTACATCTCTTATCATGCGTTAACTGCAGTGTACCGTGTTTTTTCATGTGGAGGCATTTGCCTGGTTATTTAATGGCTGAACCTCTTTGCTCCCTCCAAGCACATAATGGACCGGCATATGATGTTAAATTTTACGGTGACAAGGATGATTCTTTATTGTTGAGGTATTTATTCATCCCAGTTCCTCACTAATTATTTGTTTCAGTTGGAAGGTGACATCTGGTAAAATCTAGCCATGCACATCACATCACTGAGATTTTGAAGTTCACTAGGATTCTTGACATCTAAGTTTATCCAGTTGAATTGGTAGTAATGATGAATGGACATTTGTTACTCTTTATTAGACCACTATTTGGAATGTTGATTCATAACTTGTCAAAGTTCAATCTCTCAGGCAAACTCCTATTAAGTGAAAACATGCCAATCATAAACATTTTTTTATTCACACTCAACTTAGGACCCACATTTATAAGGATTTGGCAAAAGTTTTAATGCTTTCTGCTAGCCTGAAACAGCCCTCCTACTTTATCCAAGCTTGAGACTAGCGGTGTAAGACAAGCTCACCACTAGTGGATATCTTTTATTCACACTACTGAGGTACATTTCCAAGATGCTATGATTCAAAGCTACTCAAGACAAATGGATTTGGGTTTCAGTTTTGGAACGTGGTGGGATCAATGGATTAGGTTTTAGTTGCGAGTGTCATGGCTTTTAAAGTTTTCTAAAACTGTCAAGTAATTCCTATGCTTGCTCTTCAAATGCTAGAAATAATGGTATACTTAGCAATTGGCATTGTTGTTGATGTTGTTACTGCTATCATTGTCATTCCTGTTGTTATTGGTTGTGCACTAACTGCAAGGCATTCAAAACTTGGATATGCTGCTCTTGTTTGCAATGCACTTGCATTCAGTATATGACATGCGTCCCATTACACATCTGTGGGTACATACTGTAATGGAAAACCTGTCACAGATTGAATGGAAGTGCACAGCAAGTTCAGTGCAAATAATCACAGCAGATCCTGGCTCTACGAAATGAGATAAATATTGGGCTTGAAGACGTGACATATTTAATAATATAGCTATCTCATGTAGTTGTGGAGATGATGGTCGGATTCGAGGGTGGAGGTGGAAGGATATACTAAACTCAGAGAATTCGTCTACTGTGCAAGGTAATTCATGTGTGATAATTGAGTGCCTTTTCTTCTAAGCAATGTCTTGAATCTCTTGACATGAAGGGCTTTATTCTATAACTGCATTTCTACTTTGGCAGTTCCTATTGAGAATGTTGCATCTAAGAAGGTGCCATAGTTCATGTGCATGGACCTCCCCTCTCTAATGTCCTTTTCCTTTTAAAAAGAAAACGCTAAAAATAGAGAAGGAGAAGCATCAGTACTTCTGTTCTTGTCCTAAAACTAAGTTTAAGGAATTTGTACCATATGTGTTTTCCTTGTAGCAGACTTGCTTGAGAAAACTGGTTATTTGCATGGATCTGAAATTGGTCTTTAGATTCTTGCTACTCTAAAGTTCTGATGAAAACTAGACCCATTCACTTCTTTGGTCACAGTAATGGGGTAATAGAAGGACACATATCCTAAACCACTTGATGTATGGATGTTGTCTATGCTTAAGGGACCATGGGGTTTGTCATGCTTCATTTAAGAGGTCCTTGGTTTCTTTTTATGTATATATCTCACCATGATGGGATTCTATGACTATGAATGTTGGGTGTACTATCTAAATGTGAGTCACTGGGAACATTGTTAATAGGTTTTCTGTCCTAGTTCGAGAGATCTACTTCTACGATGAAGCATGGGTGGTCATAAAGTGGAAACTCCATTTTACAAACATTAAGTAGAGCATAAATTGCCTTTGTCTCTTCACAAAGCTTTTTATGTGGGCTTGCTTCTGCATGGAACTTCCCTTTTTCTAAGGGAAGGGGGACAAAAAAGAAAACCTTTGCAAAGCCACGGCTTACTTTGAAACTGTTCTTTTTTAATGGTCATTAATATGTTTATATATAGGGGTGCAAGTAGGGTACCTGACTTGAAGAATTTACAGGCCTGGGCCCATTGGAATTTTGCTAAACGTTCAACCCAAGCCCACCCAAGTCGCAGCCCTATTTATTTATGAAAAAGAGGGTGAACATGGAATGGTATCACAACTTTAGATCAAAATGGAACTATGGAAACTGACCTTGAGAGCTGAAACCATTCCCAGAGAAAGAACACTCCTAGTAAATAGAGGGCCTACAAGGAAAAATAGCTTTGGGAACTCATAGGGCCATAGGGTCGTTGTGCAATGTTGGTCTTGACTATTCAGGTTCTTGGGAGATATCAGGTATGGACTGGGTACGGACCTAACCTTCTTCTTTTTTCTTTTTCTTAAAACTCCTGGACCTTTTATGCTTTAATGGCAAAATAGTTAAAACAAAGCATAAGCAATATGAATGATATATTATATGATGTATTGAAGCACATAATAACAAGACGTAACCATAGTAATAAGTAATAACATTAACAATAAGGCGCCCACCTTGTGGTTTTCATTGCTTGCCCAGACACCTTTTTATATAAACCATGGTGTTCAGGTGAGGGACCCCACCGGGGGTGCCTTGTCACCTAGGTGATGTTTTGATAACTTTGGCAGCTACTCCCATACTTAAATTTACCTTCTCAGTTCTCACACTTGTCAGTCAGACCAAGATTTTTCCATTGCATCAGACAACTATCCTTTTGCAAAGGGTAGGGCTGTGGCTTGGACAGGCTTGGGTTGAGCATTTGTTGCAATTTGGATGGGCCTGGCCTGAGGGCCTGAGCCTGATGCTGTGTAAAAGTTATGTAGCTGACTTGCATCTCTAGCAAAGGGCATCCAGGGGCTTGAGAGAGGGGTAAACTGGATACAGACCTAACCTTTGTTTTTGTATTTTTTTTTGGAACAAAGTGATTGCTCCCAGACTTGAACCTATTCTCACTCTTACCAGCCTGAGATTTTACTGTTACACCAAGATCTAGGAATCACGATAGCTAATTAGTCAGTTGAGGAATTGCGTGGTAATGTGATATTGGTATTCATTGGACCAAGATGGTCATCCTAGATGTTAGGTACAACATACAAGCATCTTTGGATCTGGTACAGGGGCAGAGCCAGGATTCCTCGTTGGGAGTTGGGGGGGCACTTATAAACCTAACGAAAATTAGTTGGGTCAGGCAGTCTCTGCCCCTGGCATGGTTCTAATATCAATTTCTCTTAGGCCCCGTTCGCTTTTTGGTAAGTTACTTACCCATGTTCTTTTATTTCCCATGCAAACAAGACAATGACCATTTTGGCCATAAAAAAATACATTATTACAAGGGGCATTTTTGTCCCGTTTAAGTGTTGACAACTTTCCCACAAGGTGGGAAAGATATTTACCCACCTAGGAGATGGGTATCACTTACCTAGGTATCACTTACCCAGGTAAATAAACTTTCCCTGGTCCCCACTTAAATCTGAAAAAAGAACATGGGATTTTTGGTCAATGGAAATCAAAATCCCATTGACCAACTTTCTCCCCTCTCAAAATCCAGAAAAAGAACGCCCCTTAAGCTTTTGCCTTCTCTTGATAAGTTTGAACCTGAGCTTTGATACAAAGATTTTTGAAACTTTTACCTTCATCTCTTAATAAATAATTTTGTAGTTGTATCTTTTATTTTCTATTTGCTCAGTTTGTTATATTATGGTTGTTTGTAAAGAAATTATATCTAGTGTTTTCTATCAGCAATGTGTAGTTGTTTGATGAGTTCCTTTTCCAATAAACCTTGATTTTCAGGAAACCAATCGGAGCCACTACTTGACTTGGTAAACCCTCAACACAAGTAAGTTGTCCAGAGCTAAAAATTTTCTATCAGAAGCAACTTTTTTATTTAATACTACTGGTCTTGCACCTTTATTTTGTTTTATTCTTTTTGCATGAGTTTCTATATGACTTTGGTTCTTTGGAAGTTAAGCAAGGAAAAAACATCTGTACCGAGACAGTAAGTTTTTTGCTGAAGTCCAGAATCAAACATCTTCGCTGATGTTATGTTATATTTTGGCCACAAAAAAATGAAGAGAAGTGAAGCATTTCTCCATAATTATACATTTGTAGATCTAAATAGACGTTCAAGTATATACCTCCTATCAGAACATGATGATTTGCCATGGATCTCCGTTTAATGAGAGGAAAGAGGCAAAGCTACTATATCCTCCTTTTTTCACAGTGAAATTAATGAAAATTGCCCAAATTCTCTACTAGAAAGTTCACATATGGATCAGCAATCATACATTTAGAAAGGGAGAAAACATTTTTATTTTATTTTATTTTGAAAAAAAATAATGTATTCTATTAAGGAGAAAATCCCAAAAAGTATCATGTAGAACCTTTCAAGCAGAAATGCTCAGACTGTATGTTGTATGAGGTGTGTGGTCATGTGGTGACATGACCATGATTCCTGACCCCTCACCTCCCCTCTTTAGTCTTTCTGATATAGAGATATATAAATGGGTCATTTGGGAGAGATTGCCTTGCCATATTTGGCTCTATTCGGTTATAACTAGCCACGAGTTGGATTTGAAGACACTTTCAGATGGTTGCTAGTGTGATGGCGGTCCGGGGTAGAGTATTGAAAGTCGAATCAAAAGTTTTCGTCTTGGAGAGAGACATTTTTGAAGGGAGACTTACTTTGAAGATTAGAGAATGGTGAAGGGCCGGGGTGTTCCTAGTGGGTAGGGCAATGATTGAGTAGTTTGCTCAAATCGTCGAGGGGGCTTTATGTGCAGAAAAAACCTTGGGGGTGGAGTTTCTTGAAATCAGCAGAGGGTAGAAAATTTGTTGAAAGGAAAATACAAAACGGAGATTTTTTATTTTGTTCGAGTTTTTTTGGCAAAATGAAAAAAAAACAAATGATTTGTATTCCAGAGTGAAGAAATAGAGAAGGATGGAAGGAGATTCTTAGGGTTTTGCAGGAATTTTTGAAACATGGAGAAGAAAAGACATATGGTTTTTGGACCTGATGATTCGAAGTTTAAGGTTAGGTACGGAGAAAATGAACCTGATAAAGTTTCTATTGTTTCAGGAGGAGGAGGTGGCCAGTTCAATCTATTTGCTAACAATGAGAAAGGAGAGTGGTGAAAGAAGTTGGTTGCACAGGTTAAAGTTCAACCACAAAACCGATTAAAAGTAGAAACAATATTAAAAAGTTTGGAGCTCAAAGGGACAGTAGTGATTACTCCCTTTGAAAAATGTGAGACTTTGGTTGAGTTGTTGGAGGAAGAGATAGAAGTTCCAGCAGTGAATTTGAGTCATCACTCTGTTAAACTGGAGTCCTCTGTCAAATTAGAAGCATCTAAGTGTTGAGGATGGTGTGGTGGTTTGTATCCTTGGTCTCCCTTTTCATTTATGGAGGGATGAAATCTTCAAGTTGATCGCTGATATGTGTAAGACAAGACTGGATGGTGTCTTTGTATCTGATCTTCTTTCTGCAGCGATCTGTTTGAGTGGTGTTAGACCTGAGGAGATTCCAAGGAAGATTCAGGTGCTGGTTGATCAATCGTGATACTTGGTGTGGTTCACAACTGCCATTGAGGCAGCACTGTGGAGAGATGCTCGTAGAGAGGAAGACAAAGCAATTGGAGAGATCCTACATGGAAAGAAGAGAGAGAAAGAGTGTTTTAAAGGTGGAGGAACCTTTCACAGACATGGAAGATCAATTTTTGGTAAGAGGGAAAGACAAGTCGACAGGGGAAGATATTAATGAGTTAAGAAAACAGATGGGGGTGATGTGCGGCGGGTCAACTTCCTAGGAGCCGATCATTGAAAATGGGGCTCAGGACACACACAGCAGGTCCAAAGTGATTGTGGTAAGTTGGACCATTTGAAGTTCCTTTTATTAGATGGGTTGGGGGTGACCCGAAATTTGGTGGATGGACCTAGCAGGCTCCATGGGTCGAGTGAGTTGTTAAGTGGTTACGTGAGGACTGAGGAATTAAAGGAGGTGGGTGTTGTGAGGATTATTTAATTGTTATTTTACAGTTGCTGTTAGTGTGCTGTCAGCTTAAGATGCTGTCAGCCAGTTAGTTTCTTTCTTTCTTATTAGTTTGTTACTAGGGAGTGCCACCAGGGACATACTTGTAATCTCCCATTCCTTTTATAATAAGTTAATATAAATAACTAAACTGGCGGCAGCCAGAACAGGTTTTTTTTTTTTTCTTTTTGTGTCTCTCAATCATATCGTCCTCTTCTCCTCTTTCCTCTCTTCTCTTCTCTTCTCTTCTCTTCTCTTCTCTTCTCTCTCGTCTCTCTCTCTCCATGAATGATTACATGGTATCAGAGCAAGGTTCTGGGCTATAAAAATCTGTTTCTCCCACCTGCTTAGTCCTCTTTCTTCTTTGATTTCTTGGACGTGGAAGACAGAGAAACCCTAGCAGGCCACTTGCGGCTTCTTCCTTGGTCATAACATCAAGGAAATCCTAGCAGAAGAAGGGCGATGCAGTAAAAACTCCCTTCCTCATCTGTTCGATGCTGTGAAGTTAATTTCTGGGTTGGCACCTTCGTACAGGTGCTGGACAGGGTATGTGTTCTTGTGTTTTTCTATGGCCAATGGTGTGAAGGCCTTACTTTTTTTGTTTTATACCTTCGTTTAGATGCTGGACTGTTAGATTGCATGTGCTATAGTCAAACTGCTAGTATACTATTCTAACGACTGGTGCTGGACTGATTACTGGGCTATTTTAATGGCTGAACCATCACTGAGTTGATTCAGCAGTTTCTGTTTTTTCCACATTCCAGAAGTAAATTTCTTGGGGGTTGGTATTCTGATTGTGSCTGTTGTGTAGTTGTGTGRGATTTGGTCTGATTCAGCAGTACTCTATGGCAAACTATGATTCAACTTCATCGGGGGTTACACCAACTCGTAGCATAGCTGGTATGGGAAGTGAAAACATGATGTTTCCCATGCCCATTACCCCTTTAAATGGTCTAAACTACCCGGAGTGGGCTACAAGTGTAAAACTTTATGTAATAGCAAGGGGAAAAGTTGGTTACATAAATGGAAGGGTGAAAGAACCCAAGAGTGAGACAGCTGAACATGATAGGTGGGACCAAGAAAACAGTATGGTGATGTCTTGGGTCCTTGCAGCCATGAAACCTGATGTGARGAAGAACTTTATGTGGGCAGACACCGCTAGTGAGATTTGGGAACAGGCCAAAACCACCTATTTTGATTAAAGGCATTATGCCAAGGTTTACTAGTTGCAAGTTGAATCCTCAACCTGTAAACAGGGAAATCGTAGTTTGTCTACCTATTATTCAGCCCTTACTTCCGTATGAAAAGAATTGGATCATTATCAGGCTATAGAGTGTAAACATGATGATGATGCTAAGGCCTACAGGAAGCTGGTTTCTTAGCAGCGTGTATTTGCCTTCTTGTTGGGACCGAACCTGCCTATGAACCCTTGAGAGTTCAGATCTTAGGAAGTAAAGAGTTGTCGTCGGTTCACGAGGTATATGCCCTTGTTCAATATGAAGAAAGTAGGCGGAGTGTGATGGTTACAACCAAGGGGGAGCAACAAGTTGCATTGGCTGCAATGAGTAATAACAACATGGGGAAGAAAAGTGGCACCAAGAAGGCTGATGATAAAGACAAGTTGTTTTATACCCACTGTTGGCGCTCACGACATACACGTGACACATGTTGGGACATTCACAAGAAGCCCAAGTGGGCAGTGAAGAACCAAGAACAGGGTAAAGGGCAAGGTCAGAAGAAGACAGACACAACACATAATGCAACACATGTGGCAACCCAAGATACTCATGTTGCTGGTACTACCCGAGACCACCTTACTAATTTTGACCCCAAGGAAGATATCGTGAATTCCTTCAGAGACCACTTAGAGTCATATGGTAGGGCTTTGCGATAGATGGATAGTTCAGTCACTGGTACTCCTACTTCATTTGCATCTACATCAGGTAATGCGGCTTCTGCATTCCATGTCACTACTACCACTGGTTTTCCCTTGGATCATTGACTCAGGGACCTCTAATCACATGACCGGTAAGCCGAACTTGTTTCAGACTTATAGCCTTTTGTCAGGAAGGGATAAAGTGAAGCTTGCAGATGGATCATTCTCCTCCATTGCAGGCCAAGGATCAATATCTCTTCCCCATGGCCTTAACCTGAATTGTGCATTGCATGTCCCTCAACTTCCTATAAATTTGCTTTCAATTAGTAGTATCACAAACTCTTTAAACTGTAGTGTGACCTTTTTTCCTGGTTCATGTGTTTTTCAGGATCTAACTTCTGGGAGGACAATTGGTAGAGGGAGCCTAGTGGATGGTCTCTACATTCTCGACAAGAAAACTGGTCTCTCGGTGTCATCCTCAGAGTCATATAGTCAATCAAATAAGAGTCAATTTTTTTTGTGGCATAGTCGGTTAGGTCATGTTTCTTTTGAAATARTAAAGTCTTTGTTTCYRGTWTTATTTAAGTCATGTTCAGTGTCAGAGTTCCAGTGTCAAACGTGTCAGTTGAGCAAACAATGTAGAACAACTTTTCACTCAAATAATAAAAGWTCAARTGTTCMTTTTCATGTTGTGTATTCTGATGTATGGGGGCCTACTACTATAATCTCTGAGGGCGGATATAAGTACTTTATCACATTGATCGATGAGTTCTCTCGCTATACATGGGTATTCCCTATGCGTAGACGAAGTTCCAAAGATTGTGAAAGACTTCAGAGGATGGTATTTATGCAATTCTATGTTGAAATACAGATCTTCCAATCAGACAATGCAAAAGAATATTTCCATGGTGAGCTTAATGAGTTCTTTGCTTCCTAC